GGCAGCACAGGGGCCACGGGGCCGGGCCGGGCGGGAGTGCGGAAGCTCAGGACTGTGCTAGATCCGACAGGGCTGGGAGAGCCAGCTGGCCACAGGGGGTCAGAGGCGGCACAGCCGGGGAGTCACAGACAGACAGGGGGGCTCTGCAGACACCGGGTACCCAAGCCGTCTGCGTCCCGAGGCTGGTGGGCCCACAGTGGGCTGCTGGGCTTCCCTCGCCCTCTGCCCGCACACTCAGCCGGGTCAGCCGTGTCGTCACTGCTGCAGGGCCCAGGGGGCGGCCCAGCGGGCAGAGGGTGAGGTGGGCCGCGTGCTCCCCGCTGGCTGGAGAAGGACTAAAGGCCTCGGAGCACCTTGAAGGGGGACTGAATGAGGAGCCCTGAGCCCCACCCGGCCCTCCTGGAGGAGGGGTCTGGGCTGCTCTGGGAACAGAGCAACCTCACTTCTGCCCTGCTGCCCCGTGGGGGCCCAGTGAGGGGTGGGCCACAAGCTCAGGACCCAAGTGGCCCTGCAGCCACCCTGATGACCAGAACCTGCCAGAACCTTCAGTCTCCCTTGCAGTGCCTCAGGGTCTCTGCGCCACGAGCCAGCTGCCCCGCCCTCCCCTCCTCCCCTGTCCTCTCCTCTTCTCTCCAAAGGTGAATTTCTTTTCATAAAAGGCGGGGGAGGGGAGCTTTAAAAACCGTGGTGACCACCATCCTCGAAAGTCATGTTTGAGCCCCCCACAGTTAATTTTTTACTTACAGAGTTGCGCCCTCCAGCTTCAGTTCCCCTTAGAGACAGAGCGCAAGATGGACGATTTAATAAAATCCGAGGAACGCAGCAAGAGCCGCAGCGGGCAGGCGGGGTCTGACCCGCCTCAGCGCCGCCCACCTGGCCGCGGCCCCCAGACGGTCCCGGAGTGGGCTTGGGGGGAGCCAGGCTTGCTGAGCGGGGACCCTAACGAGCAGCGTGACCCGGGTGGGCAGGGGGCCCCCAGGGTCCTTGCTGGTGCCGTGTGCGGTGCCAGGTAAGTCCACTCTGACCATAAACAGGAGCCCAGCACTGTGCTGCTCATCTGGGAAAATGCAGAAAGGAAAAAGCAAAGGGAGGAGCGAGTCCTGGGAAACTGCGTGCCGTGGGCGAAGCGTTCGTGTCCCCCCAGAGTTCACAGGTTGGCACCCCAACCCACACTGTGACGTTCGTGTCAGGAGATGGGGTCTTTGGAAGGTGACTGGCGTCCCGCGAGGCTGTGAGGGTCGGTCCCTGTGGGGTGACTGGCCATCATAACAGGACCCCCAGGAACAAATGTCCCTCTAGAGGGACCCCGTCTTTCTCCTCAAAACTGTCACCCGGTTCCAGTCACTCATGGCAAACGCTTAATGGCCAGTTCATTCACGCGTTTCTTCACCAAACATGCACTGTGTCCGTCTGTGTTGGCCCCTCACCAGGCTCTGGGGACGTGGGGCCTCTCAGATACGGACTCTGGTGGGGGGTGGGGGTCACAGTCTAGTGGGTGAGTGCCAGACGGTGGGGACCTCCCACCTCAGCAAACGGGGAGCAGCTCTGCTCCGGGAACCTCCTTGCCCCGCAAGGCTCCCCTGGGAAGTCTGCAGTCCAGAGCTCGGCAGACTCGGTGGGGAGGCCGTTCCGCGGGGGCAGGCTGGCTGGAGACCCTCTGGGCTTGGTAAAGGTGTCTCGCTCTGTCTGGGCTTTGCTGAAGGGTCAACACAGCGCGCTCGGGAGTCAGCACCCCTGGTCTGACGAGCTGTGTGCTCTTCTCCACGACCCTGACCCCCGATCACGGGCCAGAATCTCCGTAGCTGATTATCCCACCGGGGGGCTGAGAGCCACGTGTGCCGCCTGTGAGGCTGAGGATCGGCTCCGTGGGTCCTGACCCACCAGCACGCCCGCGGGTGGATCCGTCGGCAAGGCCTGGAGTGGAGTGAGCCCCGGGCTCCTCCCCATCCTTCCCGAGACGGACAAGCTGGCTGAGGCGAGAGAGTAGAGAGTGGAGGGCAGGAAGGTGAGAAATGCTGGGGACGTGGAGGAGCAAGGGAAGAAGCCAGTGTTCGTCTCAGAAACGCAAGGCAGGCCCTTCGGGTCGGCCCGTCCTGACCCTGCAGGTCTGGCCAAGGCCATGTGCACTGGGCCGACTTCCTTTCTCTCCAAGCAGCAACAGCCTCCAGGGAGGCACAGGAGAAGTTCATCACCCCAGAGATTCTGTACCCGGACAGAGGACAGGAAGGGCCGGGGACTCCTCACCGGAAGCACTAGGAAAACAGGCTGGACCCTCACGTGCCGCCGGTGGCGGGGGCAGGGGAGGCATTGGGCTCAGCAGGCCCTCCTGACTGTCCCTCTGGTTCTGGGATTTTCAAAACACGGGTGTTCTTTGGTAATGGACCTGGGTCCCAGCCTCGGAGTCTCCTGACATGGACTGAGTTGGTGAAACCCCTGGGCTCAAACGGCACAGGTACCAAATAGTGTGCTTTGACCAAATAAGGACACTCATAACCATGGGAAACATTTAGGAGAACTCACAGAGTGACTCGAGACATTAGGACTGGCGGAGGCTGGGCAGGGTGGGGCTGGGGACTCCTTGCCAGCCTGATCTGTGCTGACGTTGCCCGAAGATTTGGGCCAGAAGCTTCCCTGGCGCTTAGAGGCGATCTGTGGGTTGAGCACAGTAAATATAGGAGAAGGGCCACGGGAAGTGTCTGGGTGGAGGAGAGACAAGGACAGGGAGGGGGCAGTGCCCCACCCCAAATCCTGGACTCGCCGGGTTCTCCTGCCCCGCAGCCGCGGGCCCTGCAGAGCTGACTCCCCCCACCCAGCTCCCAGGCGCTTGGCCCAGACCCCCGCTCCAGCCTATGTGTGTGTGTTTGCTCACTGGGGCTGACCGGATTGAATTAAATGGAACTAAATTGAATTGAATTGGGAGGAAAACTCACTTTCAGAAAAGAAACCAAGAAAAAAGTCAACCATAAGCAAATGCCCCAGATCAACTGAAGGCGGCGGTGGATGCAAGTGGATTGATTCAGCCCATCTCGCTTTGTAATGACGTCTTCATTTGGCGGTGCCTCCCGATGGCGTCGGCCCTCCTACCCCTGGGAGACAGGTGCTGGAAGCAGTTGCTCTCGCCATTTGGCTGGGGGAAGGGGGAATGCAGATTGGCAGAGGCTGCAGGGGGCCACCTCCTGATGGCCCCTCCTTGTGTGGTTCAAGTTCAGCCTTGCCTTGGCCCACAGCCCTCCCTGCTGCGGCTGGTGGGGGCGGCGGGGGTGGGGTATCTCGCAAAATAGCACCTTCCTGACTCGCACAAACTCTCACGCAAGCCAAGCAGGCTCGATGCATTCGGTGTTCTTCCACTTGTAATTCTCTTTCCCCATGGAGAAGGGTGCCTCTTTCCACCTGTGGGTGGCAGGGAGTGTGGCACCGCGGGAACCTGCCGGGGAACCCGGTTGCCCCAGTTACTGGTGATGCCGTTGCTTCACCAGTGTGGGCCTTGGTTTTTTCATCTGAGAAATGGGGCTTGTGAGACTAGTGCCTGCACCTGGCACATAAAATGTGCAGAATCAGCGACAGCCGCTGCCTGCTCCTCCCGGAGCCGCTGATCGTGGTAATGATGGTGATTTTCTGCATCTTAAGAAAAGAGGCCCAGCCTGACTGCCTTTCGATTCCAGAAGCATTTTGCTTGTTTTTATCCTGTTTATGCTGAGTCAAAATAAAACACACACACACACACACACACACACACAGTGGGGACAGGGGAATGGGCAGTGACTGCTTAATGGGTATGCGGTTTCCTTTGGGGTGATGAAAAATTCTAGAACCAGATACAGTGATGGCTGCGCAACAGTGTGAATGTACTTACTATCCCTGAACCGTGCAGTTTAAAATAATTACAGTGGTGAATTTCATGTTATGTGTATTTTACCATGATAAAAATGGGTGTGCAAGATAAATGCATATAACATTATGAAACGTGGAGGGGGAGGGTTGAGCTCAGTGGTAGAGTGTGTGCTTAGCATGCATGAGGTCCTGGGTTCAATCCCTAGTCCCTCCATTAAACATAAATAAATAAACCTAATTACCTTCCCCAGCCCCCCCCACAAAAAAAGTATGAAACATTACCAAAATAAATAAGGAAAATTTAAGTCCAGAAAAGGTGCACACGCACCCCTCCTCATGTCTAATCTCTGAAGCGCTCGATGAGAAAAGGGCAGGACTAGGTGTTCAGATGCACATGTGCGGCCCCCAGACCCCCAGGAACCAGCTTTGTGGCTTTAGGCAGGTACCTGATCTGTCCGACCCGTGCTCCTGGGTTGTAAAACGAGTCAGTACCTGGCCCTGCCAGCCTGGCGCCGGCTCTGAGCCGCTGCTGCTGAGGGAGACTCCTGGGAGCTGCATCTGTTTCCAAACAGCTCACAATGGTGGCTTCTGAAAGCGTGTATTTGGTGGGATGTGGAATTCTCTTCCTTCTCTTCAAGCGATAGCAGCCCATCCACTTTTCTTTATCTTATACATCGACTAATAAAATAAATTTGCACACCACAACCCCACATGGTGACACGTGGGGAGGTGGGAACAAACCAGCGCAGGCAGCAGGGGAACCCATTTAGGGGTTAAACACCACCGTCCGAGATCTGCCAGGTCCCTGTTTGCACACCACCTGAAGCCAGGTGGGTGTGCCCGAGAGAAGGGCGCAGCTCAGAGTCTGGGGCAAAGGGAAGAAAGCGAGGAAGCACAAAGGAGCACCCCGGGAAGCAAGTCTGGGAACCGTGGCCAACAGGCCCCCGGTGTCCTGCCTGCCGTGGCCCGTTAAATCAAACGTGGGCTCCCAGCCACGTGCGCCATCAGACCATGGCAGGAGCGTAACCCGGGCGAGTTTCCGGGGCCTCCCAGGGAGGCCAGGCCTCCCAGTCGCGGCGTGGCTAGTCAGTGAGCCAACGCCAGCCAGCCACCACATGCGCGCCGGTGACATCGACTCTAATTCTCTCCTTTCTCTCTTTTTTTCTTAGAGAGCCCACAGTGCCTCGGGAAAAATTGGCCGCATACAAGGTAGAAAGATTTCTTTCCTTTTTCCGTGAATAGTTTTTGACAGATACGCGCGTGTTGAACATCTTGGGAGCTGCTGGCAGTGGATGCGGGGGTTCTGGGCTTCCCTGTTCACTGGGGGGAGGGGGGTTGGGGGCCAAGAGGGTGGGTGGCTTGTTTGGCTCATGTCCCCCAGTGGGAATGTACTGGGAAGGCAGGACTGGGGAGTCAGAGGAGCCAGGAGGGAAATGAAGGGGCAGGAATGTGTTTAAAGGCGGCACTGCCTAGCAGCTCCGAGTGTCAGGGGAAGCAGCGCGGACTCCTTCCTGGTCCCTTCCCCGCCTCCCCCGCCCAGGTGTGCGTCCTGGGACGGCACGGCCTCCGGAACCAAGGGCAGCTCGGCTCACTGGTCCAGGGGGTCCTGGACTCCTGGGGGGGGGCTCAGTTCCCAATGCCGACCCCCATAGAGGGGGACTGGACACTTCTGACCTGATCCCACAGTCCACGTGGTCCTCCTGCCTGCAGCTGATCCCCCTTGTAGATTCAGTCACAGAGTTATAATTTGGGGGGAAATTATTATAGAAGGAATGCGTATTTGCTGTGAACAGAATTAGAAGATGCAGGTTGGCCGTGCATTTGTGACGCCGGGGCCCCGGCGGGCTCCTCCTCCTCACTCCTGGGTCTCAGGCCGCAGGCACACAAGGACGTCAAAGCGTGTCCGCAGTTCAGGAGTGAAAGGACAGCTGTCGGATGCGAGGAGCCTCCGGGAACAAACACTGGAAGTTTAGCTTCACGGTCTCTTTTGTGTTGTTTTCGCCCCAAGCCCACTCTTGGCTCAGAAGTGGATGCTGGCCTGGTGGAGCATGGCCTGGCCAGAGAGCTTTGTCCTGAAAGCCGGTCACTGCGGGCCACAGGGGCTGCGTGGGGAGGACAGCACAGGCCCAGCTTGCTGGCTTTCCCCCAGGGGTCCTCTCCACTGGCCCTGGGTGACACATGACAGGGTCCCCAGGGAGCGGCTGCTCTGTCTCTGGTTTTTCGGTGTGTTTCTCCGTGGGAGGGGACAGAGAAAGTGCAGTTGGTGTTGGTCTCACACTGTCACCCGAGTATTCTGACCACAAGGAGGGCGGCTGCACATGGCACTTCCTTGACGTGCCGTCTTTGTAAAACGAGTCCATTTTATGGAAAAGCGTCCAAAGGCGTCTCCGGGTGACTCTGTCTGTGGGATAAAGGATCCGTTTGTGCTCTAAGGAGTGATACAGTGATTTGCTGGTTTGAAATTTTGCACATTTAGTCTTTTAATCAGTTTTGCCAAGGAATAAGGCACATCCTTTTAACTACGTGTGTTTAAAGTGTGCATTTTAACATTCTGATTCATGTTTATACCCATGACACCATCCCTATGGTCAAGAAACTGAATGTATTCATCACCCCCAAAAGTTTTCTGGTTCCCCTCTAATCTCCTCCCACCTTTCCCCACCCCTGCTTCCCAGGAGAGCACTGGTCTGCTTCCTGTCACTAGAGAATGGTTTGTATTCCCTAGAGTTTCGTATAAATAAGATCATACGATACGTGGTTTTTTGGTGTAGCCTCTTTCACTCAGCATAATCACATTGCGGTTCATCCAGGTGGTGGTGCACGTCCACGGGTCCTCCTTTTCATTGCTGAGTAGTATTCCACACTACAATGCACCATAATTGGTTTGTCCATTTAGTCCTTGAAGGAGATTTGGGTGGTTTCCAGTTTGGGGCTATTACAAATAAAGCTGCTGTGAGCATTCATGTGCAAGACTTTGTTTAGGCACCTGCTTCCCTTTCTCTTGGGTGAAAAAACCAAGAGTGAAATGGCTGGACCCTACGGGTTTAACTTCTGTAGTAAACGCCAAACTGTTTCCCAGAGTGGTTGCACCATTTCACATTCCCGCCAGCTGTCTGGAGGATCTGAGTTCCACAGCCTCCCCCACACTCAGTGTTGCGGCGTTTATGATTCTAGCCCTTCTGACAGGTAGGAAGGGGCATTTGGTTGTGGCTCCCATTGCATTTCCCTGATGACGAATGATGTTGAACACCTTTCACGGGGTTGTCTGACTTCCCTACATCTTCTTTGGTGAAGTGTCCGTTCAAATCTTCGCCTGTGTTTTTATTGAGTGGTTTGCCTTGTTCCACTGGCTGGTACCTCGGTGCACGTTGAACAGAAGTGGTGAGAGCGGACGTTCTCGCTTTGTTTCTGATCTTAAAGCGTAGTAAGCCTTTCACTGTTAGGTATGATATTAGCTGTGGGTTTTTCAGAGATTCCCTTCTATAATTAGTTCCCTTCTACTGCTAGTTTGTTTAAAGATTTTATTAGTTTTTTATTAGAAATTGATGTTAAAAGAAAAAGAAATTGATGTTGGCTTTTGTTAAACTCTGCTGTCTATTGAAGTGATCGGATGCTTTTCCTTTTTCAGTTTGTTTTAAAAACCACTTTAAAACCTTTGTGGATTATATTCATTGATTTTCAGTCTTTAATCTAACATAGGTTAGGTTTAAGTCTATCATCTCACTGTTTTTTTTTTCCGCATTTGTTCTTTATTCCCTTTTTGCTTTCTTTTGGATTGAGTTTTTATTATGATTATTCAGTTTTACCTCCATTCCTGAGTTATTAGCTACACATCTTGTTTTGTTACTCTGACGGTTGCTTTAGAATTTACAGCGTATGTCTTTAGCTCATTCCAGTCCACCCGCAGGTGACATTAGTCCGCTCCGCACACAGCGTAAGTGCACCTCCACTCCTCCCCTCCTGGCTTCGTGTTATTATTACCATGCATTTTACTTATGCACATGTTAGACCTTAAAACGCAATGCTGTTTTTGCTTTAAATAGCCCATTACATTTTAAAGAGATTTAAGTCATAGGAAAAAAGTCGTAAGTTTATCCATCCAGTTACCACTTCTGGTGGCCTTCATTCCTTTGAGTGGGTCCATTTTCCATCTGTGCAATTTTCTTCTGTCTGGAGGCCTCCCTTTAATATTCCTCATAGTGAACACCTACTGGTGATAAGTCAAGCTTTTGCATGTCTGAAAAAGACTTCACGTCAACCGTGTTTTGAAAGATACTTTCGCTGGGTATAGAATGCTACGTTGACATGTTTGCTTCTTCTCTCAGTACTTTAAGGCTGTGGCTCCAGGGTCTTCTGGCTTGCCTGCTTCCAAGTCTGCCATCATGTCTGCTTCTGGTTCTCTGTACAAAATGTGTCCTTTTTCTGTGGTTGCATCTGAGATGTTCTCTTCATGACTGGTTTTGAGCAATTTGATTTGAGTGAAATGATTTGTCATTTTCTTCCTGTTCCTTGGCCATGGGTTTGTTGAGCTTCTGGATCTGTGCGTCAGTTAGGCTGCCATAGTCGGGGCAGGAAAACGGGTTGGGGAAAAGCCCAAAATGTTGATCACAAAGGGTTCACCCAGACCTATGGCTGTTTCTGACTCTAAGGCCAAAGCTACATTGTACCAGCAATGTGGGCTCTGCCTTCTGGAAAAATCAGCTCCCAAACCGTCAGACTCTGTGGCACAGGGACTGGCAAGGGTCTCTGCTGCCTCCCTTGGCTTTCGGCATGTGTCTAGCATGTTGACTTCCCCATAAAAGAAGCAGGACATTAAACATTTGAGATGAGATTAGGGGACACCGAAGGAAGAGTCTGTGTGTGCGCATCCGTGTTTGTGCGAAACCCTAAAAACCCCAAGTCTGTGTTTTCCCCAGAGTATTAATTACAGTCGGAGAGGAGGCTTGCCTGGGCGTGTTCTGCTTGGGCAGAGTAATTTATCATCCAGTTTCAAGGAGCGGAAGGCGGGTCACGGTGCAGAGAGCAAGACACACATCCCTCTCTCTCTCTCTCAGACTTCGCAGCTGCCCCACCTGCTCCGGGGCGGACGGCTTTGCCCAAGGCATGTGCTGGAGGGAGTCCGGAGAGCTTGCAGGCAGCGGCCGGGGAGACAAGGGAGATACTGAGACACGATCCACATAAGAGAGACCCATCGTGGGAAAGGCCTGTGTGGGTGGCTTGGGAAGAGAAACTGTCCAGTCTCTCTGGGACACCTGCCTCTGATGGGGGGACGGGCAGAAAGACAGGGGCGCCAGCCAGCCTGGCTGCCCGCACCGGGTTTCTTCTGCTCCTTTCATCCAGGCTGAGCGAAGGGCCTGGGGTCTCTGGGATTCATGGGGGAGATTCACAGAGAAGACGTGTTCTATTCCTGTCGGTGGCTGGAAAGCAGGGTCACATATCTGCTCACCACTTAGCAAAGCAGAAGTCCCTTGCTGTGTGACAGTCCCAATTCAGGACCTCCCTGGCCTTGGTGAGGTGACGAGAAAGGCAAAACCAACACAGGGGACCCAGCCATCCTCCCTCTGCCTCTGGGTCCCTCCGCCCTCGCCTGAACACGAGGGGCACCCTCTGTGTCCCTTGCACTGCTCAGGGTCTCTCTGGGCACTTTGTTTTTGTCCTTTCAACCATCACCCTCGCACTCCTGCCTCCTGGGGCTGCATGTGGACGCCAGACACCTGAGCCTGGAGGGACCACACACTCGCTTTAGGCAACAAGTGTTTTTCTGAAAAGTTATAAGTTGTATAATAATGAACACTGTCCCCAAGTCACCCCTCCTTGCCGTCCTCCCCATCGCACCCGGGCCCGCAGGCAGTGAGCGGGGCCCTTGCTTCTGCACGGAGTCCTTCTGGGAAGGGAGACGCCCCGGGTGGCACCAGCGATCTCGTCCGTGCCGGTGCCGTGAGCGCCTCCTGTGTGCCGGGCACTGAGCCTGGCGCTCGGGACACCGCACAGGACCAGCCAGACCGATGCCCGAGCGAATAGTCACCCTTCCTGGGGGCGGGGGGCCCTCCCGCCCGTCAGTGGGAACAAAGGGAAAACCACTCGGAGGCCGAGGCCCGACGCGCCTCCCGGGACGTGCTTTCACAGCTGCTCGGCTCAGCCTTCAGTCTCTTGGGGCTTCTGTTCTTCCTCCGCTGGAATTAGCTTTCCAAGGCTCGGCACGCAAAGCG